TGGGGTTGTCTATCATTCTATATGTAATATATAAAGAGGCAACTCCTAGGATCCTGCTATTTATATCTTATCCTCTCCCGCCGCCCCCTTTATGGAGAATAAAAGGGTAGGGATGACAGGATCATAGCTTGATATGGTTTTATTCTGTTCGTCGTAGCGGAGGTTATGTTCTTTTTTGGGCTTCTTTTCATTCTTCTTTGGCACCTATGGTTGTGATCAGAGGCATTTAGCACCCGAAAGGGATTGGAATTTTAGGTCCTTTGGAAATCCAATACACATTCATGATCCTCGAGTTTGGACGAACTCTCGACCAATGTTGTATTGATTAGTGAGAAGTTGAGATTATTGGATAAATATGTTTATCCCAATTGACTATCTTACTAAAAACTGCCAACATTTATTTGGTAAATGTCTAGGTTAGTAGTTGATAAAACGTGATGTTTATCGTAGATTCTCAACAAAGATTTCTCTAACATTCACATATGTTTTATTTTTCAAGGAATCTTGTGTCTTAGCCTAGGGTTTGAAGTCAAAGTTCGTCAACAATCATACTTAAGTCATTTTGAACATTTTGATTTATAATTGTCGACGATAACTCTAACTCTGAAAGAAAATTTCTTAGCATACGACTTAGGACCTCAATAGAGCTTGCTCAATCAACCTGATATAGAGCAAATATTATTAATGTAAAAATAGGACACATTATAAAATTATTACACATGTGATTCCTCTTCATTTGAGTAGTTTAGGGTAGAACATGATCTAAACGAATAAGAAGTCTTTTTTAAATAAATAATTGTAACTACTCGATCAAGATTATACTCTGACATTTTGGCTCAATAATACTTGTTTTATTTTATAGACAAATACTTTACGAATAAAAGAGTGTTTCATTGCAACAAAATATAAAGTAATATAGTTTATTTTTCAAAGGTAATTGAATGTCAAATATTTATTTTCTCTCTTTTCGTATATATTTTATTTTTTTATTTTTTTTTATGAATCATCGGGTTTCATTCATCAAAAAGGTGGCGCTAGCAACACACCCTGCTAGCTGGGAATCAACAAAACTGTTTGAACTAAACCACAGAACAAGAACCAAAACAGACAGCAATGGACTATAGATCCCAGAACAGGTTAACGCGTTGAGATCCTAACAGGCACTCAATTTTCGATTTAATCACTTTCACCAAAGCAGCACAATCCCTCTCTTTAGCTGAGTATAAACGTCTGCAGCGTTCTCGCCAAATATAGCTCACCCAGGCCTGCCAAATCAATTTCCCTGTTTCAGTTGCCTCAAAAACTCCACCAAACTTGGACAGCATCAGAGCCACTACCTCCTCCCAACTCTGCATAGCTGGAACCTGCATAAACTTAGCAAAAACCGACTCAAGCACAAGTCGGGAGAAAGGACAGCAAGCATATAAATGATCCCTATTCTCCACTCCTGCTCCACAAAGACAGCATTCCATACCACCACTATATCCCCATCTCAGCATCCTCTCTTTAGTATTTATGCTTCCTCTGATTACAAGCCAAGTGATCACTCTATTCCGAGGGATAGCTTTTCCCTTCCAAACAAGCTTCCACCAGGTGACATGCTGTTAAACAGGCCTCAGAGTCTGCCAAACCCTCTTTATAGAGAAGGTAGGCATAGGATCACCTTTGAATCGAAGCTCTCCCCCTCTTGCCGAAACAGAAGAGGCAATTTTACCTCTTAACTTTAACATCTTGCGCCAATTCCAGGAACCCGAAGCACAGGAGTAACTCCACAGGTCCCTGCCTTTGAGTTTGTATTTATGGATCCAAACAACCCACAATGAACCTTCTTTCAGCAGGATAAGCCAAAGATGCCTCACCATACAGGCCTGATTCCAGCTCCACATATCACGAAATCCCAGGCCTCCTTCTTTTTTTGGTAGAGTAATTTTCTGCCAGACAACGTTTGCTCTCAATTTAGTCCCAACTCCAACTTCCCAAATATAGTTGCTACAAATTCTCTCCACCTCTTTAATAACTGACTTAGGCAACAGAAATACTGACATCCAAAATTGTGTAAGACTATAAAGCACTGTACCAACAAGTTCAATCCTTCCAGCATAAGATAATGATTTAGCTTGCCAACTCTTAATCTTTGCAACAATTTTATCTATCAGAGATTGGCAGGTAGATAAACTGAGTTTCCCAGATATCAGGGGAACTCCCAGATAGCGCACTGGAAACTCTCCTAACTTATAACCATATCTTGCTGCCCTGACTTTACTTTCCTCCTTACCAAGCCCCCCACAGAACACCTCACATTTGCTAGGATTGGATTTAAGACCAGAAACCTTCTTAAACTGTTCCAACACTCTCTGCAGCTCCTGTATCCCATAGTTGGATCCATCCGAGAAGACCAAAAGGTCGTCTGCAAAGCAGAGGTGGGTAAGCTTAATGCCCTTACACATGGGATGGTAAGGAAAGCGCCCCTGCTCAGCAGAATTATCGAGCATACACGTGAAAACTTCCATTGCTATAGAGAACAGATAGGGAGACAAGGGGTCACCCTGTCTGACCCCTTTCCTAGCTAGGAAGTAACCAACAAGACCCTCATTGAAGCAAACACTGAGCATGGGGGTACACACACACATACTAATCCAATTAATAAAGCGTTCAGGGAACTTCATGCATTTTAACGTATATATTTTGTTTAATATATAAAAATATTATTTTTTTATGTGTATTTGTTTTTAATTTTTTCATCAAAATGTAACTTACCATTCAAATTTAGTAAAAATGAGCAGAAAATTTACTTCATAAGGTTTAATCATATATTTTTTATTTAAACAAATTCAATATATGTCACTCTCTGTTTTCTTATTTATATTTTTTTACTTGACAAAAAAATTATTATTTATGTGTTTTTGGTTAAGATTATCAACATGTAACTTATCATTAAAGCCAAAAAGAATAAATAGATAAATGAAAAATAATAATTGAATAAAAGTAATGAACATATTAAAAAGAGAGAGGTAGCTACATAAATACATTAATAACTAATTTTTTGTGTTTGTAAAAAGTTGTCCAACTTGGCAAATTGTGGATCCTCCAAGTGCTTATGTGGCAAGAGATTGCTTTTGAATTGCCATAATATATAGTATAGATATAGATAGATATAGATGCCATATTGATCACGCCATTTTAATTCCATGCAATGCCACAGCAACTACGAGCATAATTTGATCCATCAAGAATGCTCCTAATTGATCCTTATATCGTTGAATTTGAATCTTCATTTTGGGACCACAAGAATTGAATATCCCTCTAGTCGATATTGCATCATTCTTTAAAGACTTACGAATCGAAAGAACAAAGATGAAAAGATACTGAAAATTTTATTAAGGATTTGGAATGAAGTACGTCATTCTGCAAAATCAATATGCTTTTAACAAGAAAGAGAAGAAGAAGATGAAGAACATAAAAAGGACTCTAGAGCCCTCACAATACTTGGTTACCCAGATATCGATCATTGTAACCCATCCGACTATCCAGATCCTAATCACTATAACCCAAGCTACTGTAGGAAACTAGAAAAACCCAACACTCTTAGATTACTCAGCCATTGCTCCTGTAATCTACAGAGTAAACAAGCAAACCTGGACCCATCAACAACCCAAAAGATTCCCTCTTTTCCGTTGTCGAACCCTCAAGTGTTGATGGCGGAACGGATGCTCTATAAATAGACTCCATAAACGTGACCGTTGAGAAGGTGTATTAGCTTGATGACCGTTGCCTTGTTGAGAAGCTCACAATTAAGAATTGAAATTCGAAAGGAAGGTGCGCTGCAGCTTTACTTTTCTTTCTCTGCTTTTGGTGTTTTGCTTTTGGAACTGGAAAGACAGCAGCATCAAGGCGAAGGACGAGATAGCTAGAAGATTGTAGACTCTGGGCATACTTGGGCTGAAGTTTACTGAAGTGGGCTGGTTGGTATGGGTTGAAGTTAGCTTAAGTGGGCTAGATGGGCTTGTGGCCCGGTTAAGTCAGTCAACAAGCTCCACCAACTCATCTCAACAAGTAATCCTCCCATGCGCAAACTTATGTTGGCAGCATCGATAATCAATGTTTTATCCATCATGAATGCTCCCAATTGATTCTTATATTGATAAATTCGAATCTTCATTTTTGAACTACGAGAATTAAATATTACGCTAGTCGATATCACATCATTCTCTCTCTCTTGAAGAAGATTCGACCTCGAATCTTTATAGAATCTTGATTCTTGATTAGCGCCACTCTTCTTGCTCTTCCAACAAAATTTTATTAATGAGTATCGTATTAGTTTCCCTTTGAACCTTCCTTAGTGAACATATATCGAGTATACTCACCAATCAATAGATGTTATATCTTTGATTAGTAGCTTGATCTTACAAATGCAATTTCCTGATTAGTTGTTTAGATCAATCTACCAAAAATAAAGCGAGTCCTCCGCTCGGTAAAGGAGCATTTAATTTTATCAAACTCTCACTTTGTAGTTTCTGCACAACTCCTTATTTATGTCTGTTTCACCTAATTGGTTGTGGTGAAGTCGGCAATGGATTACTCTCTGGCTTCATTCCTCCACAGAAGACTTGCGTCAATAGTGCGGAAGTTAACCAGAATCCGCAGCTATTGAAGACGGTCACGAAATACTTTGATCTATGGACACATCGTTGTGGTAAAGGCCGTAATGCCAGAGGAATCATTACCGCAAGGCATAGAGGGGGAGCCTCTAAGCTGTACATACAACTTTCATCGAATACAACTTTCCACAAAATTCTAGAAAGCAATTGTACAGTACGAAATAACATAAAAATAGACTCACATAAACATAAAAAAATGACCAATTGTTCCATAGGATTTTTCATTTTTTTAATCTCTTCCCTAGCAAAGGCTTGGTAGCAGCAAGCAAGTTCCTTGCCTTCGGGATAATACATGACTTTCTTTTAGTCTCTCTAGGATTAGTTCTTATATTAGGAGGCTAGCTTGGCTTTGGGGCTTGCTTCTATTGGACCTGGGGTTGGTTAAGGCACTATTGCGGGACAAGTTGTAGAAGGTATCGCGAGACAACCAAGGCAGAGGGGAAAATACGGGGTACTTTATTAATTAATAGGATTTTCAAAAATGGGCGATCAAAACATCGAATCACTATGCGTATCTCGGTAGTCGTTACTTTAGGTTGTCTTTCTTTTTTGCTTACTCCTCTTCCTATTTCGGTTTTGCTTGTATACCAAAATAACATATGTCAAACAACTAACTCTTATCTCTTTACGGGTTTCTCAATGTTGTGTTCGGTTTAGCCATGAACACCGCTTGGTCTCATTATTGCTTAGAGAATTGGCCATCTTTTATTCTCCTTGATGTGACTCTACTTCATGTAAGTGATTTCTAAATGTATATTCTGATAATACACTATTTGATCACACCACGTGTCAAAGCTAGAAACTCATAAAAACCTTTCATCTTTAGGTTTATCCTTATTGTTGGAAATTGTCTCATCATGAGAAAGAACTTTCAATAAGTTGACAATGTTGTACCATCATTCACAACTTTGTTTCCTTCTTGAACCTAGAGATTGGGTCTGCCAATCCTACTTAGGTAGAGTTACCACCATGCTGATTTGTCCTAGGCCACGAGTTCATTCCCTTTGATGCTTTCATTAATGTCTAGGTGGGCCTCATTTTTGTTATCATTTGATCTAAAAAGAGCAACTCAGATAACTTCGCTAGAAATTAATCGATCAATAGTGTTATGTTTTCTTTATCTATAAGGAGATTTATCATATAACACTTCTAGGTCGTGCAATAACAACTTTGAGGTTCTAGAACCCATTGGATTTTTCCCAGGATTTTTTTGTGTGGATATACCTGCTGGGTTGGGTTTGGATTCGGTAGAACCCGACCCAACCCGAACCATTGCCATCCCTAGCTATCATGACAAAAGAATGCAACACTCCATTTTTTTCTAATAAGATTTCTTAAGATTGTTATGGAAATTGTTCATGTGTATACTATATCTTGCAACATAAGTCACATATAATATCATGAAACTTGCGAACACATGCAATCGTCCTAGCCGACAAAATACCCTTTCTCTCCTTAAGAAATCTTATTAGGCTTTAGTACCCAAGATTATATAATGATTCCTCCCATAATAGAAAGAACGTATCTGTTCCGGCATATCGGTACCTCAAATCTTGGAAAACAACGAACGCAGCAAATCGGCGAGAACTACACTTGACTCAATTTTCTATTAGAAGAATGCAGAAAATAACCAGTTTTGATTTTGGTAGAGCTCCAGCAGGAAAAATCTTTTTTTTTTTTCCGTCATAAGTAAAACCAGAGGTGTTTGGTGTTATTTATAGATAAGAAAGGGTGCATACGAAGAGAGGCAACTTTTCGGGTGGGTGGTTACACCCCAACTATGGTGGCGAGACAGGATGTTGGTGGCGGGCGGTTGGAATCAGGCGCCGACGACACCTTATCTCAATAGTCAATTTTTTGCAATTGTGCTGCATAGACTATCTCCTAATAAGGGTAAATAGGTAATTTTAATTAGAGTGATTATCAAAACTTAGGGTGACAATTAGCAACTCTCTTATAATAAAACTAGGCCGACGTTTAGTTGTGCAGTTTATATATGGAAACTTGCTAATCATAGGTGTATTTTCGCCTCTGGTACTTCTTTTGAGTTTTTTGCCTTCTCAATGATATTGATTAACATCAAGCCTCATTGCTCAAATTACACAGAAGTTGTCATCCCCGTACAATATGATCCATATTACAAATTTAATATCACTAGTTTGAAAGTTTGTGCTCCGCACGGCGTCTTCAATTCCTATTTTATTAAGATCTTTTTTTATACTACAAAGATACTTAAAAGATCTTTATTATTGTAAATACGAAATAATACACTAAATATAAAAACACACAATACATCTTTTAGTTGTGTGAATTGGTAAATGAAAAGATATAGTCTAACATCGATTCAAGGAAGTGTGTGTCCAACCACATATAACACTAGGTTGAAGACTTGAAGCTAGTGAGTAAAACTCCCATTAAGATACTACACTTGTAAGATATAAGCATATAAGAGTAAATTGGACTTGATGGCCTATTAAACTTTATATTCTAAAATATGAATTTATAAAAAAATAAAATATTTATTTGGATAGTTGGAAAATTCATAAACATTGTCAATCAATAAGGATTCAAATATGAAAAATTGATAATCAAAATACACGTGAATGAAATAAGCATAACTAGCCGACCTCCAGTTGAATAGTCTCTGAAAATGGAAAATGAATCACCGATATACGCATGATATGAATACGCGTGACAGGGCGGCATTTAGTTGAACCGTGGAAAAACTCATAAGAAATGTCAATTAATGAATAAATAAATAAATAAATAAAACAAAGAGAAAAAAATGTCAATTAATTAAAAAAATGCCCCTCCCATCCTTTCAATGAGAAGTGAGATTTTTCCGTTTTCTTCCTATTTGAGTTAGAACGAGAGAGATGATCAAGAATGAAAAACAAAATACGCAAAAAAAAATGTTGATTTCAAGACAGAATTATAAAAACAATAGAAAATTTGACCGTTGAAAAAATTTTTTTTTTTTTTTTGGAAAATGACCCTAATGTTTGGTTGAATAAAAAAATACATATTATGAATAATAACTCATGTATGGAGACGAGAATCATACAAAAGAAAAAAGAGAATTGGAAAACAATAGAGTAGATAATTTTTTTGAAAAAAACACTCATGAGTTAATTCTTTCTTCTTATCATGTGCATTTGCGGAGCCAGCTTGGTGAAAGACGGGACCCACCTTCGTTCAGGATTAGAACACAAAACTAACAATACTTGTAAGCAAACCATAATACTTGAATCCAACACCTCGTGTTCATTAGTTTTACTTGTCCATCGGCGTATTGTAGAGTGTTTTATGTCACACATTAACCATGTGTATGGTGTAATTAACCCTAGATTTTACATATATCTGTATATTTGATAATTTATTCTAAGTTTACGAATTCATAACATACTATTGAATTCTCTATCCTCAAAGGAGAATCGGTCAATAAACCGTGAAAACATGATGTTTATTATTTTAATGATTAATCAATTTTTTTTTATATCAACCCACCTTGAGTGAAATCCGAACTGCACAATTGACCATTTGTCCTCCATCAATAATGCCCTTGATTTTATTTACAAATTAGTACCTTATCATTTATATATTAAAAACAATGGTCATTTGTATTTAGTTCCAGTCACATTGTCGGAGATTTCCGAGGGCTCAAGATAGGGTGAGTAATCTTATGTTGTTTAACATGAGTAACCAAATCTAGATCTTACTTTTAATTGGGCTGCAGATCTAAAGGTTGAGAATTAAAGGCATTTTATTTCTCCTACTTTTCTTAATCGGATCATATCTTCTTCGTTCTAACTTAGATTTCAGTTTTTTTTTTTTTTTTTTTTTTTTGCACAGATGGAACAAGTTCGATGTGCTCTACAAAATGAGATCCATTTTCATTATTTTTTTAGAAAAAAAGTTACATATCTTTCATTACCAACTCCATACCATATGATATACAAATTTCTGGGTGAATAAAATACAGGACCAAAAAATATCATACAATACCACCTTGGTATGAGGGGTGGTATCTTGTGGTACACAATGTTAAAAGTCGTAAATGACAGTTTGTATAATCCTATTATAATGTATTCAACCATCCTACAGTTTTTGTATGTTCATACCACCATGGTACCTTGTTCATGCCATCATGGTACATTGTACTTCATACCATCATGGTACTCTACCTATTATTTTAATACCAATCAAAACCACCATGATAGACTGGTAAAATATCTGTATTTTTTTTTTCAAAAATATATCAAAGTGGATATCATTTTGAAAAACACAAGTAATCTTATTTATTTGTGTAAAAAAAATCAAATTCCTATTTAAAACGAGAAAAAATCATCCGTTAAAAATTAAAGAAGAATATACTAAAAGCTTTTCAGGGGAGAGTGGGTGCTAATGTGACGAATTCTAGATAGATTATGCATGATTATTGACTATAGAGTTATGCACCCCGAAACATGAAAAACCATGGGAGTTCCAACATATTTACTACCGGGGGAACCAACAACGTTAAGGAAAAGCGAAAAGCTTCTACCTGCTCAAGCTGTGCAGGTAGCAAAATACAAGAATAGAGGAAGTAAACTCTATAACTGCAATGGCCATGCAACAGTTCAATCATGCTGATAATCGAGATTACTGAGAGACTGAAATCGCTCTTCAACAATCAAATGGAGTCGAGAGAGAGAACCCACTATTACATTACAGCCTCTCTGAACTTCTGCTTCCTGAGAATGATTGATGCCTTCTGCTGCCTCGAGCCACATAAGAATATGACAGCATAGCAACCAACCATGACGACGAGAAAGAAAAAAGAACTAAAATTAAATCCCCCCAACTCCCCCGCTTCCACACAACAATATGATCTCAAGCACTCGTCTAGTAACCATTCACCCGGGGCCTAGCCGTGGATGGTGCAGGGTAGAGTTCACTACGAGTCTCTGTCAATCGAGAAAAAAGTACCTGACTACCGTTCTTGTCGTTGTTCTGCCTGACTGGTCCTCCTCGATGTGGTGAACGCGGTGGTTCGCTGTTGTTCTTCGAGACCGAGACTGACTTGGAGAAAGCTTGTGCGAGCTCTAAAGCCGAGACCAACTTGCCATGACCGGCGCCTTCTGATGAGGTGCTGGAATTTCGTTCTTCGATCGGCTTGCGCCATGTTTCAGGTTCGGGGCGTTGCTGTTCTTTATTATTATGGTTAACAACCACCTCTTTGTTGCTGCCCTTCCACTTGTCGTTCCGCCAGCTCTTCCTTTCTTGTTCCGGCTTCTCGTTGTGGTCTGCCTTTTGATGATCCTTCCTTTCAAACTCCCTTCCTCCAGTCCTGCCCCTGTTGGTTGGAGTGCGAACCTCACTCTTCGTGGGACCCTGTCGAGCAGCAGGAGCCGAGTGCTCCGACTTTACTTCAATCTTCAGAGAGTTAACCCTTAATGAATGAAACCTCCAGATCATTATTATCATAATAATATATGCACAACAGCCAAGAAATAGATAGATTGATGAATAATTATTGGCATGTTCAAAAGATTAATTACGTATCAAGTACCTCTTAGGTGAAGAACTGGGGTGGTCAATCTTGTTGATTTCAATGTCATCTACGCCCCTTTCCTTGAGAACCTGAAGCAGGACAATATGGGAAAATGTGCGATAAT